AGGGTAGGGTCCAGGTGAGGAAGTGACAGAGAACGGCATGATCCTCTAAGGAAGAACTCCCGTGTCTTTGGCAATTTCTTTTCTTTCTTCCATGCAGAGGCTGACACCCAACCCCATACACCACTTCCCAAAGCCCTGTTCCAATGCTCTGTTATTGTGGAGCCACACCAGACATCAGAAGCAGGAGGAAGAAACAGCTCAGGAGAGGGGGTAGGATGGCTAGAGGGCTCAGGGGACGCGTTCTTTAGTGAGCTCAAAGGCAGGATCAGGTGAGTTTTAGCATGTAGTGGGACTCCCCCAAAATATTAGAGAGTTGCCTACCTGAATTCATCAGGGACAGGAGCATGGCTGTATGAGTCAGAGGCAAAAAGAAAGAACAACCCTAAGAGGCCTCTGAGCTGGGTTCACACTATTTATAGAAACATAGTTAAATGATATTTGGAAGAAAGCAGAAAGTACAGAGTAAATGACCCATGAATTTCAGCTCTTAAGGTTTCAATACTATTATTATTATGACAACTTACTTTGTGCAGAAAAGGAGTCAAAATAAATGAGTTATTTTAATCTCCTAAACTCTGTTTTCTCATCTAGTAAATGGGTAAAACTAAATACATCATAGTGTTTTTATGAGTAAGACAAAAGAAAACCCATGTTGATTTATTTTAAAGGCTGTAGCCAATTCTTCATTTTATTGTGTCTGCTAAACTACCTCTTATAGAATTGGCCCTAAGTAAGGAAATCCTCATTAGGATTGGCGAGAAAGGGCCACTTAGACATGTACCTGTTTTGCATCTGTGGACTGTCATGAGAGAGAGAGGAAAGAGAAATAAAAAGCAGCTCTCTGCTTCCTGTCTGAGGCCGGGGTCTGCAGCCTGCGAAGGGCTGGTGGGGAGAGTGTCTGGCTGGTCCCACGGCCAAGTGGGGCTCCTTTATGAATGGTCCTGGCATCTGGCTGTGGTAAGCCAGCTGCAGACTCCTCGAGGTAGAGCTGGTCTGGAATGGTCAGGGGGGTCAGTCTGGGTTTGATCTGTTCCTGGAGCCTTGATCCAGGTCCTCTCAGGCGCTCATCCGGAAGCCTGTCCTTCTCCCCAGGACGGGGAGGCCTTTGTGTCTGCCTCAGCTGAGTGTGTCAGGTGTCACTGAAGGACCTGTGATATCACGAGGATGGGAAAGCTGCCACGTGGCTCTCTGCCCACCAGGATACAGGCCCTGGGGGCCCTTACACACCACAGAAGCCCGGCTTACCCTGATGTCACCGTATGTAAGAGGCCTCCTGGAAAGACCAGGTGGAGAACCAGGAAAGTGCCCAGGAGCCGCTGTTGGAATCCCCTCAACACAGGCTTCCCTGGATGCGAGTCTGCAGATCTCAGCCCCAGCTGCCACCTGGTGACGCATGAGTGTCTCTTCTACCCACACAACTAACGAGCCCAACTTATCCCCAGGGCCACAACAGATCATCATAAAGTAACTATGCTTTAAAGGAGTTAGGTGTGGGGTGGTCTATTTTGTCATGTGACAACAGAAACAACCCGGCCCTTCTCCACAGCCCCTGCCACCCACCCTAACCCTAACCCTAACCCGTGATGCATCCACTCTGACCACCTTTCACTGTCTGCCACACCCTTGCTTGCAGCTTCAGAATCACTCTCAACACAGCACCCCTGAAAGATTCAGTCATAGTGGCTCAAGAATCAAGCCCTTGGTCCTCCTGGACTACAAAGTCTCTGCTGTATCTTCCAGCTCTAGCACTCTACCAGTTTTCCTTTGCCAAGCAGAGGAGACAATTCACAGATCATGGGGGCAAAGAATTCAAAAGGGCAACAATAGCAAACAGGAAACTGTTTCTATCAACTTTACACGAACACTGCATGTCTTGTGTGCCAGGTTCTCCAAGAGGTAGCAAGAAAGCAAGAGAGGAGCCTTGACCCAGAAAGGTGCACTCTGGAGATTGTATGCTGCTCTTGTGCCTATGCCTGCATGGTTCCAGTGGACACTGGACACGGGCATTACTGAAATTTTAATTAATGAAAAATAAAGGAAGATTAAAATTCAGTTCCTCAGTCATATTCAAAGTGCCCAACAGCCACATGTTGGCTGCCATATTGAACCTCACAGATACTGAACATCTTCATCATGGCAGAATGTCCTCTGGGACCCTGCTGGTCCCTCCGGTCTTATGAGGCAGAGTTACAGAAGCTAAGAAAAAATGGGAATTTAGTGCCGTTTTGAAGCCAAGCCAGCACTGGGGCCGGGTGGGGCTGTGGTGGAGAGCTTTCCTAGCCAAACCAAGGCCCTGAATTCAATCCTCAGCTCGTAAACAACAAACAAGACAAAACTGCACTGTTACCTTAAATGTTTACATTTACATAATAATCCATAAGTCTTCCTCTACTCTCCCTAGAGAACATCCTAAAATAAATGTTTTTGATTTTTGATGTCAAATCCCTTCAGTGTTTCTTTATGGCTTTTTGTTATTGTTTTTGTTAAAGTATTTCTTGGGAGCTAGGCACAGTGGCATGTGCTTGTAATCCCAGCAATTTAGGAGGCTGAGGCAGGGGGATTGCAGGATTGAGGCCAGCCTGGGAAAATTAGGGAGACCCTCAGCAACTTCGTGAGAACTTCAAAATAAATAAAAATCACTTTAGATGTAGTTTAATGGTAAAACAGCTCTGGGTTCAATCCCAAGTACCAAGAAATATAAATAAACAAATAAAATACAATCTTTATTTCTTAAACCAAGTCTTATTTCACTACTTAAAAATCATGTGCAATGAAAATAAGATACAGTACCAAAGATCTAAACCTTAGATGTGTGTAATGAGCACAGACAAAATAACTGAAAGCTGGTGATTTGTTGACAATCATGCACATCTTCGTGTATATTCACACAGATGCCCGTGGTGCGTCTGCCAGCTCCTCCCCCTCAGGAGTCCTGGGCTCAATGTCACGTGAAAGTCTCCTGCTTCTACTTTGAACCCTGAGGTTCATTCTGCAGAGGCCTATCTTCAGGCTGAGGTACAGGGCCAGCTGTGCTCTGTGACTTCCCAGGTCCCTGGAAGACTCTTGTCCCAAAAGTCATCTCCCAATACATTGGAAGTAGACTAACATCTACTAGCTGTGATCATATTTCAAAGACCGTATTTTCAAATTGGAAATCTTCCTAAGGCCCTTAGTGGTTTCCCATCGCTCAGAAATTAAACTAACAGGTAACATGGCAGAGACGGCCCCTCCTCACCCCCTTCTGCAACCTACCTCCCCCTCCGTGGTTCTCCTCCACCAGACGCGTGGCCCCCTGCTCCTTCTGTGGAAGCCCTTCCAGTCTCCTTCCCATTTATGTCTGTGACCCTCACCTCACCTTCCTTCTCTTGGGAAGCTGCCCCGGTCCTGGGCTGAACGTGGTCTCAAAGGACAGCGTCCAGCCTTCAGAGCCCTTTCCTCAGCTTTTCTTAGGCATTTCTTCATGGGAACACTTGCTTGATGTTGGGACTGCCATCGGCCATCTCTTTACAGCCACTCAGAGCTCCTCAACGCCAGGTACCCGGGCTGGCACACAGAAGCCATCCGGTAATATTCACAGAATAAAAATGAGAAAGAGGAAAGGAGAAGAAGAAAGGAAGGACGGAGAAGACGGGAGGGAGGTAAGCCTAGAGTTTAACAGAAGGCAGGACAGGACGGGAGAGAGCCGCAGCCTGCTCAGTCCCAAGACCCTAAAATCAAAACCAGCTTAAAACCTCGAGGCTTGACCTCATGCCCCACGAGTCACGCAGGGTTGAAAGGGGAGAGATTGGTGGGAGGGACGGGGGATACGATGGAGCAGGGGACAAGGGACGAGGCGGTGAAGAAGGACAACAGTCAGCATTGGCACAGGTTCCCATCAAGCACTGCCCTTGCCTGTGGGGCCCTTCTTCCACAGCAGTCCTGTGTCGGGGCTGGTGGCAGCCCTGTCTCCAGCCTTCCTTCTATTGTGAAGACCGTGCCCCTCTGAGGCCCACGTGCTCTTTAGAAAATGCCAGCCGACACCGTCACCGCCTCTTTCCTGATCTGTCCATTTTCTCCTTACCGGGCATAGTGTGTCTGGGGAGGGGCAGGGAGGCCAGGTCACAGGCTGGCCAGCTTTCCCAGGCCTCCAGGACCCCAGAGAGCAGCGGAGGAGTAGGCACCCTGGGCGGCGGCTCTCGTGTCAGTCGGGTGCTCACACGTGGGCTGCCTCCCGCTAGGCCTTTGCTGTCCCCTCTTCCTCAGGGCTCCCGCTCTCCTGGGGCTCACAGCCCTATTCTCATTCCTAGAGTTTCAGCATTTCATTTTCCTCCTGTTCTGAATTCTTGTTAATAATTCACTTTTCCTTTTATGCTTGTAGCTTCTCATCTCCTTGTTGCTTACTTTATCTTAATCTCGTCTCCAACATGCCTCCTTCATTCTTCCCTTTGAGTTTATTTTATTGTCTTTTAAACTGCATCCGATTTTAGGTATAATTTGGGTTTACTTTTTATTAAACTTTTATCATCTTTATGATTAGAATTTCCGGTTTTGTCCTGAGCTTGTAAACTTGACCTGTGGAATCGGCTAGTGTTTTACGGTGACGGCATTCCCTGTCTTTTGACTCCTGCGTGGGCAGAGGGAGAGGGCTCTGGTTTCAGGGACACAGGGAGTTGCTTTCCTATGTGAATCATGGAGCTGATGAGTCACTCCTGTGCTGGGAGCAAGGCCATGCTTCCCACTGGGCGCTGGAGCGTCGTCTCCCCGTCACTCACGCACCGATGGGCTCCACGGCGCCTTCTCTCCCTGCTCTGCTCTCATGCCCCTCTCCTGGGTCTACCAAAACTGAAACCCCATCCACAGTGCTTCACCTTCAGCCATTGCTGCTGCTCTTTGCTCAGCTTTTCAGGGAAACCCACAGCCTCCGCTCCCTCCCGGCCTCCTTCCCCTGGATGTCACTCAGGCACTCGGGCCTGACTTCTGTGGAAAGGTCACAATGCATCCTGCTCATCCCTCCCTCTGCCCATTGTTGGCCTGACCCCTGATTATGTAATAATGAGCACTTGCAGGCTCCCCTGCCCCAAAAGACGGGCCCCACACACACACACAGCCTGCCGAGGGTGGAGGAACCAACAGCAAGGTAAGCTCCAAGAGAGATCTCGTGCCACGGAAGGGATGGGAGGCAGCCCAGGGGATTGCTTTCCGTACCAGCAGAGGAGTTGGGAATGTGGACCAAAGCTCTCAGCGTGTACTGTGACGATTATCACCATAATTATCTCATCTGCTTTGTCTCAATGTTTGTGTCTCCCTGAAATTCCTACGGCAGAATGTGATTTCCAGGGCAGTGGTAAGAGGCAGGGCTGGGGGAGAGGAGCAGACAAGGCAGGCAGCCCTCATGAGCAGAGCTGGCTCCCCTAAAAAGGGTTCCCTGTCCTTCTACCTCAGGAGGACACCGCCAGACACCACCATCCATGAGAACAGGCTGTCACCAGACTGGAATCTGCTGGTGCCTGGATCTGGGACTTCCCAGAAGTGTGTGTGACAGATTTCTGTTTACACATTTCCCAGTGGAAGGTGTTTTGTTATAGCAGCCTACTCGGACAGAGGCATCATCACCATCGTTATGAAAGTGCCACGGCTGAGGTTCCTCACAGCTTCTGTGTGGAGCCAAGTGTGCCTTCTTAAGGAGTTTACTGCAAGCTCTTCTCCTCTTTTAGGTCAAGATCACTGAACTGAAATAGGTTGCTACTCAGGGAGAGATCCAGATGCCGACCGAATTCCAGACATGTAGACATTTTATCCCTAACTTGCTCTGCACCAACAGGAAATGCCAGAAACACACTCAGTTCAATACCAAGAGTGCCAGGGAGCTGGTCTAAGGAAAAGGGTGAAGGAAGCATGGGTCAGCCAAGGTCAGAGGAATAGGGACTGCAGGCTGGGGAGGACCCAGGTCAGCAGGCAGGTGTGCTCAGAGAGATTGTGACAGTGAGCAGCTGGCACATCCCTCAGCCCCTCAGAGCTCAGTAGGTGATGCCTGGCCCAAAACATTCAAGAAGCCGCAGCCTTGTTCCAAAAATGATCTGACATCACCAGGTGAGATGAGGGTTTTCTAAGAGAGGACAGATCTATTTTTACACCTAAGGAGAGGAAACAGGAAAACCCTCCTAGGTCCTCCTCTGAGATTAACAGTTATGGGTGGCAATACCGTCTGTACCGGGATGGACATGTTTCTGACCTGACTCTGAAGCCACGTATCCCAGATTGCTCACTTTTCTAATCATATTTTCTCACCGTCTTTGGATTGAGAAAGAATGAATTGGAAAGACAAGGTAGCATGCCACCAACTATGACTGTGTCCTGGAAGACCCCATGGTCATCACTGTGTTGATGGTCATTTCCAGGGTGGTGAAGGGCAGTTGGACAGAGGGTGATTGACTCCAAGGCCCTGGCTAATTGACAGCATGGACGTCAGAAACAGGGGATCGCTAATGGAGAGCTTCTCTTAGGGACATGGCAGCAATATGTCCCAGGTTATGTCTCCTCCCACAGTAACTACCAATAATTAACCCTTGCCCTCTGGAACATATTCCTCTTGAGATGATAAGGTATTTGGTGACCCTGCTTAGGGAGCACCAGTGCTTACCCACTCAGTCCACTACCACCTACCCTGGCACATGCTTTGGTAGGAAAGGGTAACTGAAACAACCCTTAATTCATGACACCTCACTCATCCTCTAAGTCTCACACTAATTTTTAAACGTGAAAGCTCCTGTGCACGCGTGTGCACACATAAACACACACACACACACACACACACACACACACACAGTATATCTTCTCACAGTTAAGTTCTTTCATTCAGCAAATATTCTTTTATTTGGCAAGAAAAATTGTAAAGTAAGCATAGGTTTTGGGAATGGATGACAAGGTTCAAATCCCCAGCACTGCATGTCTGACCTGCCTTGACTTGCTTAAAGAAAGTGTGCATCCAAGATGGAAATTACATGAGCTGGGCCCCCACTTTCAAGGTTCTGGTGCATAGAGGTTTTAAAAAATTCTTACTGGAGGGATAGTTAGAAGATATTCTGTATCATTTTATAAAATATGGAAACCTATTAAGCTATTGTAGCATTTAATAAGTGAAATTCAATGGGGAATTATATGTATGTCTACAATTCTAGTTCTTTCCTAAGACCATCTTTCTCTCATACCAAAATGATCAAGATTTCACTACTAGCCTCTAATTTCATGGGCTTAAAAAGGCATAATTTGTCTTCATTTAGTTTTAAATTTCCGTATTTTTCTGAGCTATTCAGCACTTGAGGAAGGAAACCAACATCCTGTGTGATTTCAAGGACCCATAAGTGGCCTAAAGCCCCTCTCACAGTTGAGGCTGAAACTCCCCACAGTGATCTTAGACGAAGCACCCCCTCTGCCGACTCCACAGAGAGCCTTTCCTGAGCCAGTGGGTAGGAAGTTGGCATGTCGTCATCGCCAACGAGCAGAGGAGGAAGAGGAGCCTTGGAGGTTAAGTTATTTGGACAAAACTCCTCAACTAAGGCAGGGCAGCACAGACACTCTGAACCCGAGCTCACCAGTCCCCACAGCTCTTTCCACTGTCGGGCACATTTCTTTGTCTCCACCCACCCCCTGAAACCACAGCCAGTCTCCTTGATGCCCATATCTCAGCTGCACTCTACCTTTGACGCTCAGCAGTGGTGTGGATAATTAATGTCGGGTGACACTGTTAGATAAATAGGGAAGTCTGGGTCCCTGAGTTCCCTCCCCGTCTCCCTCATTCCCTCCCTCCCTTTCTTCTTCTTTTCCCCTTTCTTCCTTAGTCCCTTCAACCCGCTATTAAAAAAAAAAATAATAAAAAACAAAAGCTATAACAGACGGGCCACTTATGAACAACAGAAACCGTTTCTCACAGTCCTGGCCGTGGAGGAGTTAAGATCAAGGTGTAGGCAGTGAGTGTCTGGTGAGAGTCAGCCTCAGGTTCACAGCTGGCACCTTCGCACTCTGTCCTCAGATGGTGGGAGGAGAAATGGGCTCCTCTGGTCCTCGTTCAAGGACACAGAGTTCCATTCATACGGGCTCTGACTCTCACCCAGTAAATCCACAGGCCCCCACTCCTGGCACCCTCTCCTTGGCCATTAGCATCCAACACTGGGACTAGAGCACCTCCTTTCTTACCTTTTCTTTCCTCCGTCCATCCACCCACCTTATCTATCCATCCATTCATCCACTCATTCATCCGTGTATTAATTCCTCCATATAAGTCACTTATTTTTTTGAACAAATATTTTATGGAGAGGAGAAAGAGATGAAGAGGGGTGTTGATGTTTTGTTTCTTTGTGCTGCTTAACCCTTTTATCCCAAGACCACCTTGATGTAAGGCTGAAGTGAGAAACCCTCTGGCTCCTGATGTGTCACCACTGTGGTCTCTGAGAGAGCTGGCCATGGTACACTCTCGCCTAGCAGGGGGGTCGCTCATGTAATTCAGTAGCAAACAAATTATCCATAGCGAGTAAGGATGAAACAGAAGGTAATTTCCACTTAGAAAACAATACCTTCTTTTACCTGCTTCTGAAAGGGTTTATGAGGTTTTGTTGGTTCGTCAGCTTGTTTTCCTACAGGGAAAGCTGAGGAGTGCAGAGGTGCAGGGTCAGGCAGCAGGGCATGAGTCAAGGAGTGATCCCCAAACCATGGCTTGGTGATGATTTCTTGTAAAAAAGCAACAAACAAACAAGAGTCATAATCTGGAATGAAAAGCCATTAGCAAATGTTACCTTAGGGCTGCGATTGTGGCTCAGCGGTAGAGCACTCCTCTAGCACGGGCGGGGCCCGGGTTCGAACCTCAGCACACATAAAAACATAAAGGCATTGTGTTGTGTCCATCTACACCTAAAAAATAAATATTAAAAAAAGAGTTAACAGTCATTTTTGTGTGTGGAGCTCAGTAATCTTAATCCCACAGAAGAAGCATTCACAAGTTACACCAGACCCTAAATTGAGTATCTCCACTAGGAATGTGAGCTTTCCTCTCAGGTCAACTCCTCACTCTTCCAGATCCTCCTGTCGTTGATGAGCACTGAAGACAGAGCCACCCACAGACCCTGCAGGCAGGCCTTCCCACAACCATGAGGCTGCTGGCTCTCCTCCTCCTCCTTCTGGTCTGTCTCTTCCATGGGGCCTCAGGTAAGCCAGCGATCCACCCGGCAGGGTGACGTGGCGGGTGCCATGGAGGCCGCAGTAGGACTAATGGACTCACAAGCCAGTGAGGCCTTGGGAACAACTAACTGGTTCAAAGCTACAGAGATGGCATTAGAGACACTCAGACTTCAGCATGAGTTGGTTTAGTTCCAAGGACAATGCTTGTATTATACCCAACAGTCCCAGAAAACAGATTCGAGTGTGAACATGACCCGTGCAATACTTGGGACATCCTTATTCTGAAAGACTCTCACCTCTAATCTGAACCTCAGATCTGACTGGGGCCTCCCCATTTTGCCTGTGACCCTCTGCGTGTTGACTCAGGGAGGTGGTACCATCATGGGAACCACGTCCAAATATTGGCATCTCACAAGCGCAGAGGCTGAATTTTTGCTCGTGCTGTGACTCCATCCAGGCCACAGGGCACTCTGTTCACTGTAGCAGATCAGACCTGGCTGGGGGTGCAGCTGCCACCATGAACGCAGCGGGTCACGGCAAAGGGAGGCACTCAGAGGAGTCCCCGTTGGCATCTGAGGGCTCCAGCCCTGAAGGACTGATCACTTCTGCTCAAAATCGTGAAGTAAGACCCATGGCTGTTCCCAGCTCAACAAAGATTAGACGTCAGTCCTACTGTGTGTCAAGATGATGGTTGGACCTGTTTGGTGAACAGCCTAATGATGATGGGTGGAAGGATAGACAGACAGATAGACATAGGCATATATAGGTAGCTATCTATGCATGTGGATGTAGACAGATATGCGTGTATACCTATATATCCAAACACACGAGTGTGTGGGGCCACCTGTCACCTCCAGCTCTCAACTTCAGGTATTATTTGAGTTCTCTGCTCTCGCTGCTGTCCACATTGTTCATTCAACCTTCTTGATCTCACAGAATTTTCTTCCCAGACAACTCACAAGAGCACTAGGAGTCTGGTGCTCATCTTGGGCCAGGCACTTAGAGCCCCACGATTCCTGAGAAAACACTCGCTGCAGAGACCACGGCAGGCAGGGTCCGTGGCCGTGTGCTCCTCAGCGCTCTCCTGCGCTCAGGGCTTATGGCGTCTCATGAGCTGCACCTGGGTCAGGCTTTGCCTGCGAGGAGGGCCAGGGCGCCCTAAGGAGCTTGCAGAGAGAGGAAGCAAAACAGTCCTAACCTTGGGCAGTCTCATGAGGTGCTTTTTCTAATCCAAAGTTTCTGATCCAATAAGGAAAAAGACTGTGTAGGCCACAGTAGGTCACAAGCGTCCTCTGTGACACCTCGGGCTCTGAGGGCCATGTGGTGTCTGCCGTAGCAGCACATCTCTGCCTTTTGCAGGAACTCAGACACAAAAATATGGGAGCACGCAAGCGCGGCTGCCTTCCTACTAAACGCTACTTAAGCACACTGAAATTGGAATTGCACAGACTTTTCAAACGCTGTTCTCCTGAATTGCTTCCGATAATTCACCAGTATGAAAAGTACCTGAAGCTCCCAGGTTGTACCCAAACCCGCCAGCGTTCACTTGGGCCGTGGGAGCAGTCTGCCCACCCCTGCCAAGCAGGACGAGTGGTAGTCTCTTTGGCTGCACAAGATTTCACTTCATTTCTTCATCCCTCTTTCCTTTGCAGCATATGAAAAGAAAAAAGATCTTGAATGTGAAAAGCTGGGCGGTGCCTGCAAACACCAGAAAACCCACGGCTGCACCATCCTGGCTGCGGAATGCAGAAGCCGAAACAAGCACTGCTGCAGGCTGTAGCGGCAGCGCCCTTCGGGGGCCCCTCGTGCTGCTGCCCACGCACCCTCTCTGGTTTCTGCTCAATAAAGACACCACACATCTTGCTGAGGGTGAGCTCCCGTAGCAGGCTGTTGAACTGGAGAGGGGAGAATTCAGGTCCTAGGTTTTGTCCCACCGCTAGGGAAATGATTGATGGGGACATTTTCCTTTTCTAAGTGTCAGTTACTCTGCCTATAACCACACAACTGCGTGTCCCCGAGATACTTGTAAACTCTGATGTGCCTACACATCTGTGGACGTCGGGTAAGGGCGTTACTGTGAGTTAGGTGGAGCAGTGGCACGTAGACAGACCCACAGGACCAGGGCTCAGAGGCCACCGGAACCCGTCTGTGGACTGACGGAAGACCAGCACTTGGAGACACCTGATTATTTTCCTCTCAGAAAACAACTTTCCAATTGTGAGATTCCTTCAGAATCGACTTCTTAGAACACAAGAAACCCTTTTCAGCCCAGAGAAGGTTTGAACTTTGTAGAGAGTGCAGCACAGGGAAAGGGTAGTTTTTCAGAGGAGAAACGCCACCTTGGCCAGAGGATCCAGGCTGCCTTCGGCTGTGGTTTGGGGACGAGGGGGTCCCGCAGAGTCTCACATGTGAGACAATGCAGCAGACTTCAGGGGTGAGGCGATTGGGGCATGAGCGTTGTGGCCTGGTGAGTGGATTAATCCACTGATAAGGGTTAACTGGGTGGTAACTGTGGTAGGCAGGGTGTGGATGGAGAAGTCATAGTCTTTTTCATGTCCCACTGAGCATATAACATCTTTGTTCCTGAACAGATTTTTGTCTTCCCTCTTCTCCCCTGGTAATGGCTGATTTCACTTGGTAATGAAGTAGGACCTATCAGGAGAAAAATATTGGAGTGATTTATTGTGGCCTTCCTTCATCCAGAAGCAAACTTCCCTTAGCTTAAGTATGATATCATCCCTGAGGAATTAGGAGGAAGATGAGTGCAGAGATATTAGGTCCATGTTAAGTGAAAAGCTATTAGTGATGAAATCAAAACTACCAGCGGGAACTGGGCTCCGGGCCCGGGCCCCTCACCCCTGCCAGATCCTTCGCTGGTCTCTCTTTGTGGCCATGGGCTGTCGTGGGATCCAGTGAAACCTCTTGCACAATGTGGAAGAGCGGCAAGTTGGCCAAGGAACACGTTCCTCACACAATGATGACTCTGACATTTAAGATTGCAATGAGAAATTCTATGATGTTCATTGGCTGATTATAAAATTCACAGTACACCGGGGAAATGTGCCAAAATAAACAAGAATGTTTTTATAAAGAGAAACAATAGTGTCTTTCACTATCTGTCATTATAATTTAGATATTCAGGCTCGAAGTATGGAATGGTTATCAGGAATAGAAAAAAAATCCTTGAGACAAGAAACATCACCCTCAGACCCATGTGAATGTTGGCATCTGACTGGGGAAAGGTGACCTGGCTGTCACTGGGGACAAGGGCAGTGGGCTCTTTGATAATAAATCAGGTAAGGTTTCATGACTGAGCATTTGAAGAAAAAAGATGTTATATGCTCAGTGGGACATGAAAAGGACTATGACTTTTCACTCTGTACAGTTTTTAGATTTGAATGTTTATAAAGAGTAATTATGCATTACTTACATAACTGAAAAATTAAGAAGCCTAGTTTTTATTATTGAAATTGATCAAATGTCAGAAGGATCAAACAGGTTTTAGTATAATATATGATACTAAAATTCAAGAGTATGTAACATTTATATTATTAGTAAAGGTGTGTAAAATCCTCCCTGTGATGGTGAATTTGTGACACCTTTTCTATAGCCACATTTATTTTCTTAGATATTTGGAGGTCACCTTGTTGAATGATCACAGACTTAAAACTCTCCTAGCTCTCTGACAACTGAGATGTCTGTCGTGAGGCATCATTCCCCTTTTAACCTGGTAAGGTTTGCAGATGCTTTCAGCTGGCTCCTGTTTTGCAGAAAACTGAACTACACTGGCTGGCTTTTGGTTCTGGAATCTAGTCTGTTCCTTCACTTCCAACTGGTCCAAACTCATAAACTTTGTGTGTCTCTTAAATGGTGCATAGATAGAATGGGTTCTTTTACACACCTGATAGTCTCCATATTTAAGTTTTGTCTGTGCCCATGAACTGTGGTCACCAGCCAGGTGTGCCTGTGCCCAGGCACTGTGGTCACCAGCCAGGTGTGTCTATGCCCATGCACTGTGGTCACCAGCCAGGTGTGTCTGTGCCCATGCACTGTGGTCACCAGCCAGGTGTGTCTGTGCCCATGCACTGTGGTCACCAG